AAGAGAGGAACGATCGAGAGAGGCGATCGAGAGTGACGAGGGCAGAAGAAACACGAGAGAGACTGTTGCGATGAGAGGGTTTTTAATGTAATAAGGGTCGCGAGAAAATGTGGGTCGTGGAGTCGAACATGCGGCCTGCGTTTAACATAAATATTAAGATAAGTGGTCGAGCTGTTGTTTCCAAACGCTTCAACCCCCATTTTCAAAACCACTGTGACAAATAAGTTGCCTCAAATGGGGCCTTAATGAGATGAACCTGTTGGTATCATAAGATGTATGATTTAACTTTGAATGAACCTAAATGAATCATTTAAAGAATTGATTAAAACTTTTGGATATTAATTATAATCTTCAAAAAAATTTTGGAATGTAAATTTCGAGTATGGATCTTTCGGTGCTAGGGGAAATACCTAATCACTGGCCCATCATCTCATCCACAAATTTGAAATTTTGTGGCCCAATGATTGGGTATTTCCTCCTGCATCGAAAGTTCTCATGCTCGAAGCTCACAAATAAAAAAAAATAGCAATTGCGCATGGCAATTTATTTATGAATGTAGTTTCTCCTGTGAGATCGTGATATTGAATCACACATATTGCTCTTTAGGCTAACCTTTTCAAAAAAAAATAAATCAAAATTTATATGCTTATAGTCGAATCAATCATCTTAATATGAGGAATCCAAATACTTAAAGATCATTTAATTTTAATGTCATAAAAACACTCAAATATCCAAATAAAAAACATATGATCAAAGAGGATAATTCTAGGTCATTCAATCAGAAAGTTTAAGAACTTTAATAAACATAACTAAAATGTTGCTTTCAAAATTTATAAATAGACAGTTTGACCACCTTCATCAATTTATCATCTAAACATCTCCATCAAATCATAAAAACACGAACAACGTCATCAAACTATAAAAAATCAACTACTTTCATCAAGTCTTTGCCACCCAACAATCAATATCAGATAATTACCACTAGACCATGGTTGTTAGATTGTCGCTGTCTGATCATCACTTGATTAATTTTGTTAGATTGTCACTACCTAACCACCATCTCTACCTCAGCACTACCATAGGGGTGCCACCTTGAAATTACATCCTCAAATGAACTTCCATAGCCTGAACACCGGCCAAACATTGTCATTGAATCACACCATTACTCTTGCACCAACGTTAAGCTTGTTACATCATCAATAAATTTCCAACATCCAACACAAATTTTTAGTATATATTTGTGTGTGTGTGTGTGTGTGTCCAATTCTATTATTTTGAGTCAGAACGAGTCGAACATGAATGAACAAACATTTGTATGTGATCGACTCGTTTGTAAATCAATCTCAAAAAAAAAATTTATTTGTGTTCGACTCACTTGCTTGACGAACGAATCGAACACGAGCTACTTACTGTTCCCAAACAATGAACATTTTTTATAACCCTAATGGTCATTTGGGTTCACCCTTCTCAGGAAAAAAAGATCTCAAAAATTTACATCCTTATAATCGAATCGAGCATCTCAACAAGATGAATTCAAATACTTAAGATCACTTAATTTTAATATCATAATAGCATTCAAATATATATAAAAAACATATGATCAAAGAGGATCAATGTGGGTTAATCAATCAGAGAATTTTAGAATTTAGTACTCATAGTTAAAATGTTGCTTTCAAAATTTATAAAAAGACTGTTTTGCATCATTCATCAATCTATCATTCAAACATCTACATCAAACCATAGACACACGAACCCCACAATTAGACTATCAACAATAAACTACTTTCATCAAGTCTTTATCACCCTACAACCAATATCAAATAATCATTGCTCGATCAAGGCTATTTTGTTGTCACTGCTTGATCACTGCTCAACTAATGTTGTCAAATCGTTACCACTTAATCACCATCTCCAACTGACCATTAGCATAGGAGTGTCGCCATAAAATTACAACCTCAAATGAATAGCCATAGCCTGAAAACCGACCAAACTTTATTATCGAATCACACCATTGTTGTTTCACCATCTTTAAGCTGTTATTGTTGACCACCACCCCTAAATTATCATCACCCGACTACATCTTCCTTACTAGCACCACTCGGTCATCATCACCCAACTACAATCACTTGACCAACTTGATCTGTCATTATTCGCCTAATTATTATTGCCACACTATGATTGCTTGGTCAACATAACAAATCTTTAGTAGCCCGATCTGTATCATTCAAATGTAATCATTCAATGATTGTCTCATATTATGATCACTCAGTGGCCTTCGCCTAATTATTATTGCCACACTATGATTGCTTGCTCAACGTAACAAATCTTTAGTAGCCCGATCTCTATCATTCAAATGTAATCATTCAATGATTCTCTCATATTACGATCACTCAGTGGCAATCATCCGTCCACAATCCACCGTTATTTCATCTATGATGCTTAGTCAACATTATTTGTATACAATCATCTGACCGCCATTGCTTGACTATCATCTCCCAAACATTATATCATAATTATAATCATTCAAATATCATCGCCAGATAGAAGTACACTACCCCAAACTTCTGACTAGCTTCACAAGATTATGGCATTTTCTCATGACCATGACTGTCGACTATAGCCTCCCAACCATCGTCAGTGATTTTTGACCTCTCAACCGCCGTCACAAGACTACAATCGCTTGATCATAGTCGCCGACGATAGTTTTTCAACCGTCATCAAATTGATTTTACTTTTAAGCATTAATGAATTGTGCTTTAATGATTAATTCTAACTTTATATTTAACGATTTTTTAATACAATCATGAAAACTTTAATGTATCGAATGATCATTTTCAACCCTTTTTTTTTCCAAAATTCATTCTAATTATTTTGAAGTATCAGATATCCATCATCTCAATAAATTTCATTAATCATTTTCTTTGCACTTAAGTACAAAATTAATATTTTAGCTGAGCATTAAAGCCAGAAGGGAAAGACCAGCACTAATGAGATTAGTACTTTAATTGGATTCTAAATGATGATTTATTAAAACAAAATTCTTCTAATACTCGTCTTTAAATTCTTCTATAAAACATCATTGAGTTTGATCACCCTTTCAATCTCTCTAATAACATAAACCACCTGCTTTAAAAGTGATAAGTCATTAACAAATTTATCGTTCAACACGAATCTTAAGGCATGATGTAAATCTCAAAGCAATTTTTTAAGTGGGCAATATTAAAGCTTCGATTAAAAATACACCATAGCTCAAATTAGAGCAAACTTATGGTCAAATTGATCGGCTCGATGAGACGGACCCGATGATACTAAAATGGGTCCAATCTAAGTCAAATCAAGCCTCGATCAAGTTAAACCGGTTTTGAAACTTTTTAGACATATTTGGAGATCAAACGAATGTTGAATCTAGTGAGCTCTTGGCTGAATCGAGCGTCTCGACAAAACAAATCCAATGAGCCCATGATCGCTCAATTCTGACCTTATTAAAACACTCAAAAGTCCATTAAACCCCGTCTAATCAAATGAAACTCTTTAGATATTCTGATCAAAGTGGTTCATATTCCTATCTTAATTGCACCTAAAACTCTATAAATAGAGTTTTACTTCTCTCATAAAGATGTGAGAGAACTTGAAGCCTAGGGGACCTTGAGGCTTGAGAAAGAGTTTGAAGCTTTGAGAATGAGCTGAAGTTCGACATCATGCCAACCACCGTCGACCACTGTCGATCACCATCGACCACTACCTACTGGTTGTCGCAGATTACTATCGATCGTTGTTCGTTTCTTGCAACAAATTCATTCGCTCACTGACATTTTAATTTGAGAGACCGTGTAATCCCTTCTCACCTGTGGGATGAGAGAATGTACGCAAAAGCAAAATATCTAAAATCTCAAACTCTTAGATGCTATGATTACTATCTGACACAGGACAATCGTTCATGCACTCCTCGCAGAGCTTGTCACTGCCGTGTGCTGATACGTCTCATAGACAACTTGACGATTTTTGCATGGATTGATAAGTTATTGCCATTCGTGGGGCCTTTTTTTAGCGTAACTGTGTCAGTTCTTGAGTGTAACAACATCACTTCCCCGAGCGTAAAAGAAAATTAGAGAAAGTACTAATAGCGATATTAAATATCTGAAATTTCAAACTCTTAGATGCTATGATTGTAAGAAAGGCCCCTTTATTATATTGAGTTTTTAAAAGATAAGAAGGGTTATACAAAACAATTACGACATTGTTCCTTCTACAAGTAGAGATAGTGTTAAGAGAAGAATTTCATTAGATAATCAGCACTTCAAGTTTGAAGGGTGTTGTTTTCTGCAAATGTCTTCAGTTTGTATGCTCCGGGTCCAGCTCTCTGATGGATGATTTAGAGGCCATTTCAATTTTGATTTAGCTTTCTGATAGCATGTCCCTTGATGGCGGGGTGGGCCTTTCTCAACACCAAGTTCCCTGGGGCAAACTTCTCTTCGCCTACGTGCTTGTTAAAAATATTTGGTTGTCCTCCGCTTAACCTATTCTTGTCGGGGGGTTGTGTTGGCTCGATTCTCCTCATCCAGATCTAGGGAAAGTCAAACTGCTTTTTCATTAGCCTCAAGTCACTCTCCTAGATATTCCTCATCAAAAGTTGAGGTGGAAAGAACCCTCTGAATATAATTGTTGTATTTGACCAGTAACATGGCTTTTATTCTATGGTACAACATTAAAGGGGGTCTATTCGGTGGACGTGGATAGCTAGGTGCAGCTTGATCTAATGGTATCTGGAGAATGCATCGAGGAAACTTAGGATTGGGTGGTTGACTGTTGAATCCACCAGATCATCTATACTTGATAGAGGGTAAGAGTCCTTTGGGCAAGCAGAGTTCAGGTTAGTGAAGTTTACTCACATCCTCCATTTTTCGTTGGCCTTCTGCACCATCACCAAATTGGAGACCCAAGTGAAGTATTGCACTTCTCAAATGTATCTCGCCTCCTCCAGCTTTCACACTTCCTCTCAGATGGGTCCCACCAATGTCATGGTCGAGCTTCTTATCCTCTACTCCATGGGTCAAGTCAATGGCTTGGTGTTCAATTAATGGCAAGCGACGTCGATCGATACGCTTTGCACCTCAACGACCGTCCATGTGACAACATCTCAATTTTCGTAGAGGGTTTAGATCAGCAGCTCCTTGTGACCTGCATCAAAATCTTCACTTAGCAGAACACATCTACTTGGTTCTCCTTGGACCGCCGGAATCTCACGGGTGGTCTCGTTGATCTCCAGGCCACCTTGACTTGTGTTTTGGATGTCCGAAGGAACGTGCTCTACGTTGCTTATGGCTCAAGGTAAGTTGAAACCACCGTCTCCTCGTGGTGTCACCCCCAACGTATAACATTATATTCGTTCGACTGCTGCTAAATATGTGAACAAAAATCTCAAAGTAGATGTAAGACTCAGGAAGAAGATGCAGACTATCAAACATAGCCTTCGATGATCTTTTTTTAGTTGAATATTGGCAAGAAAAGTGCTTTGTTCGAACGATCGACAAAAGACTCCAGGAGAAGTTCCCGCATAGCGATAATTAGCTTTCAGGACGATTGACGGGGAACACTTTTTCGAACTAGATATCGATCAAGGTATACCAGAAAATCGACAACTCACATAGGTCGAATCAGTCCTCGTTCTTATTATACGTGAATAACTCTGTAATTACCAAAAAAATCTCCCTAAAAAACTAATGATAATAGGGCTAATATATACTTTTGTAGTACTGAGATGTGTGTCTTTGAATATGGATAATAGGGCTAATATATACTTTTGTAGTACTGAGACATATGTCTTTGAATATAGGTACAAGTCATGAATAAAGAACAATGTTTTTACTGTTCCATATTATGCTCTCTCTCTCTCTAATCACTTCTAAGCATAACTTTCTATCCCTTACATGTGTGTTTCCCATATACTTTTTGATTCAACAATATATATATATATATATATATATATATATATATATGAGACTCAAATGCTACGTTGTATGCTTCTTTCTTCTAAGTTCTAATAAATATTTCGGGTATATAATATAGAGCAGCAAATATTCTTAAATTCAATATAATACAAAATATGCGTACTTTCCAAATATAAAAATAAAGCAACTTATTTAAAAAATAAAAAAGGCATAAAATCATTGAAAAGATTCTCATAACCGTTAGAAAATTTTAAATATCCTTAAAACTACCGGCTTATATTAATAGCCGCCCCACGATCGATCTATCCTCCTCCAAACCCTTGCCTAATTATATCTTCATTGTTCCTGCCACCTTCTCCACGACGAGTCCCAGCGACCTCCGGTGCTCTCCGGCAACGAAGACATTGAATCCGGCATCGCCGTTCGGTGATCTTCCGGTTTTCTATCAGCCGCTGCTAGCTTCGGGCGGCATTGGGAATAGCGGCGGCAATCTCTCCGAAACCATGAACAATTTCGCTTACACCCATTGCCCTAATTACGGCAGCCCTCTTTTCGACTCCTCTTTACCTAAAGATCTCTTCAAGGAAGACAATCATAAGCCGGAGTTCTATGATTCCTTGTTAGGTAAAGATTTACTCTGCACTTCGTTTTTTTTTTCGAATTTAGGGTTTAGATTTGTTTCTTTCTTTTGTGTATGACGTTGGGGGTTTTTTTTTTTAATGAATCTGGAGTTTTTTGATGCGGCATTGATGAAAAACAAGTCTATTTTGCTAAATTCTAATTTGACAAGACAGAGAAATCGAACTATGGAATTTGGGTTAGATATAAGGTTATACATAGAGGTGAAATAAACAAAGTTCATATTTTGTTGAAAAAAAAATTTTTTTTTTTTTTTGAGAATTACATAATATTAATTTTTTTATGTATTTATATGTTTAATAACTAATTTTTTTTATATTTACTTATGGCGCCTTAATTTTTGAATCATATCAAAGATGTCAATATATTAATTCACTAAAAAAAAAAAAATTCTTGTATAAATTTTGGATGTGATTTGCACACCATGGTGTAATAAAAATAAATATAAATATTTAAAGATTAGAAATATATAAATAGAAAAAAATTTAATTTCATGTATGTAAATCTCCTTTCTTAAATGTAAGAGACTCTTTTTCTATAATTTCAAGTGTCCTAATGATTTGATCTTAAAACTTTATTTTTTAACACATTTTCTATAAGGTAAATAGCCCAAATTAACCCAAAAAAAATGTAGGGAATTATAAAATTACACCATACAAAATATAGGAAACTACATGGAATTTTCTTTGAAATTTGATATTTCCCTTAATATATTAGGTGATTTCGCAATTTTTCCCTCTCTTAATAAATATATTTGACTAATAATTAAGAAAAAAATTGAGAAATTCTTAATGAAGGATAGATTTTATTTCATTTTTTATTATTAATTTATTTACATAATGAATTTTTTTATCCTAAATGAACAGATTAATCTTGCCCCATTAGAGTAAGATGATTATGTGGAAAATAAGTTGAAGTTCTCTTAATTTGCTGATAATTAAGAGGGCTTGGAGTCATTAATTCTCCCTTGATTTTAGTTATTTTTTGGCTACCATCAATGATCTCCTCTTTAAAAAAAAAACAGAAGTTCATTTTCACTACTGCTTCAATTATTTAACTACGACTTTCTGTACATGAATATTTTCTCCTATTCATGAATCACATGAAAATTTACAGCCGGTTGAAAGCATTGGTGGCCCTGTGATGAATTATTTTGCTTGGTTTAATTCCAGGTTTACAGAAAATGATTTGTTCAGAACATATTGTTATTTGATATGTATAATACCTTCACTATTAGGGCATTTACATATATCCCACAATTCTTATATATTTATCGAACACATAAACTTTCATATTTGCATACATAACATCAAATCTTTGACATCACCTCAGAAATACCACTATTACAGGCCTTATAGATGTAAATATCAAACCTTAGTTTTTAGATATGTAAATGCATAAAATTGCCCTTACTGTATTGTTATTGTTTCTTAGTTGACAGTACCTGTTGCACATGTAATTGCAGGAGATAACCATATTTGGGGAGGAAATGAATGGTCTTTTAAGAACCAGGCAAATTTTATTGAACCAAAAGGTACCTGGCGAACCAAACTTCTTATAACAAATTTGGTGTTTGCAATTAGGTATATCTGACCTACTGAAAGCTGATATATTTCTTGATTCTGATGCTGATGGACTATGAAAAATCATTTGCAGATTTTGAAATCTATTTTTCAAGTTATACAAATTACATACTGATTGCAAATTTCTTTTGCCGCAAATAGTCTTTTGAATCATTCAATTCAGGCCAGAAACAAAATTTTATTGCATTGTTAGAACCTGTTCTCAGTTCTTAAAAAATGTTCAGATATTAGCCTTCACTCTTTTTCCTATTGTTCATTATACTACAGCACAAAAGTTCTTTTAAATAAAGTTCTACTTTTTCTTACATTAAAAGTGAGGCCGCACGAGAATCGCGAAAACTTCGCGTGCAGGCGTCCGTTTCGCTATTGCGACCCCATTCCGGAAAGCTTATCGAAAGAAGGACAAGGCGCGTATGTGCCGAAGGCGCGTATGTGTTGAAGGCGCATCCAGCGGGTATTAATTTATTTACATAATGAATTTTTTTATCCTAAATGAACAGATTAATCTTGCCCCATTAGAGTAAGATGATTATGTGGAAAATAAGTTGAAGTTCTCTTAATTTGCTGATAATTAAGAGGGCTTGGAGTCATTAATTCTCCCTTGATTTTAGTTATTTTTTGGCTACCATCAATGATCTCCTCTTTAAAAAAAAAACAGAAGTTCATTTTCACTACTGCTTCAATTATTTAACTACGACTTTCTGTACATGAATATTTTCTCCTATTCATGAATCACATGAAAATTTACAGCCGGTTGAAAGCATTGGTGGCCCTGTGATGAATTATTTTGCTTGGTTTAATTCCAGGTTTACAGAAAATGATTTGTTCAGAACATATTGTTATTTGATATGTATAATACCTTCACTATTAGGGCATTTACATATATCCCACAATTCTTATATATTTATCGAACACATAAACTTTCATATTTGCATACATAACCTCAAATCTTTGACATCACCTCAGAAATACCACTATTACAGGCCTTATAGATGTAAATATCAAACCTTAGTTTTTAGATATGTAAATGCATAAAATTGCCCTTACTGTATTGTTATTGTTTATTAGTTGACAGTACCTGTTGCACATGTAATTGCAGGAGATAACCAAATTTGGGGAGGAAATGAATGGTCTTTCAAGCACCAGGCAAATTTTATTGAACCAAAAGGTACCTGGCGAACCAAACTTCTTATAACAAATTTGGTGTTTGCAATTAGGTATATCTGACCTACTGAAAGTTGATATATTTCTTGATTCTGATGCTGATGGACTATGAAAAATCATTTGCAGATTTTGAAATCTATTTTTCAAGTTATACAAATTACATACTGATTGCAAATTTCTTTTGCCGCAAATAGTCTTTTGAATCATTCAATTCAGGCCAGAAACAAAATTTTATTGCATTGTTAGAACCTGTTCTCAGTTCTTAAAAAATGTTCAGATATTAGCCTTCACTCTTTTTCCTATTGTTCATTATACTACAGCACAAAAGTTCTTTTAAATAAAGTTCTACTTTTTCTTACATTAAAAGTGATTTACTCTGATTTGAAACAACTTTTGGCATTTTTTGCTAAGTTGAATGTCTTTGCTGAAAAAAAACAAAATTGCTATTTTTCATAGAAGACCTTCTTAGCGAGTTCTACAAGAATTGTTACACACCCCAACAGTACCGTTATGATGATCACCATGAACTTGATTTCAATGGCGTCCAATCAAAACCGCACCTTGACAACGAGTTTTCTGCGGCTTATCCCGAGTATCCAAGCCATGATGTTTCGGGTCTGAAATTCTACACACCATATAACCGTGTTGACTCGGATAAGGACTATGATAGACTCTCGCAGATTTGGTCAGCTTCTTTGGCACATCTGGGCGATTTGCGCAATGATTTTGGCAATGATTCTGAGGACATTGGATCAGGTTTAGGAAGAGCTATGAATTCCATTTTAATGGAGAATGATATGGCTCATGTTTTTGGAGATCATGCTGATCATTTCAGCTCTGGAAACAATGCTGCAGGAATGTTTTTTGAAGATTTTCCTCACTGTATTGACACTTATGCTGAGAATTTAGCACAAATGTTCAATATCTCAGATAGACAAAAACAAGTAAGACTATTTCGATACATTAATCAAATGTGTCAATTATTTTGAAAACAAAAAGGAACATTTACATACATACCACTCAGTTCTTATGTATTTACATATCTAACACCTAAACATCAATTTTTACATATATTCCCCTTAGCATTGCATGAAAAGCTCACACACCTAAACATCAATTTTTACATATATTCCCCTTAACATTGCATGAAAAGCTGTATGTCAATTTTTAAAAGTTAAAATAGTGTGATAATATAGATTTGGGCTGTATAAATGTAAAATGTAAAGTTTTGATGTTAGATATGTAAATACCTGAGAATTGGGTGGATATCAGTAAATCTTTATTCAAAAAAGATAACTGAATTACTCAAATTTATATAAAACTAATTTCTGAAACCGAAAATCCGCAGCCTGTTCAGAATACTTCCATGGCAGCTGAAACTGAAGAGAATTACAGGCATAAAAACTGCTGTAATTATGGGGAGCAGCTGAAAACTGAACTGCTGCAGATTGTTTCTTCATTAACAGCTCAAGTTGGTCGTTTGGAAATTCAGGTGGAACATCTTACTCATAAAGTTCAAGGTCAGATTTCTATTTTCATTTTAAAACATATAAATTTATAAAATTATTCATAATACAAAAATTACTAAGAATGTTGCAAATTTGTAATGCAGATATGGCTGATAAACTGTCTGGCGAAAATAACAAGTTTTCTGCTCCAATTCTGGATCATTCGGGCAAGTCTAAAGCTGTTCTTGAAGAATCTGAAGCTACAGATAGCAAGTCTTTGGTTGCTTCTGCTGATTCAAATCAGAAATCAGATGAAAATGGTTCCATTGATGACTCCGATTCCTCTGCTCCCTTTGATTGGGAAATTATATGATTCCAAGTCTTCTTTCATTTGAATCTCTTAAGTAGAGAATCTATATATATGCATCTATCAGTTGGACCTTCTATGACAGTTTTTCTGTCAGACTTAGTGACTTTGAATACTTTGTTTCAGAGAACATTATTAAGTTTAGTTGTTTTTTTTTTGGCTTATTTTATTTGTTAGTTTGGAATTATTTGATTTAGGGTGGATTTAGGTTGCATTTATGCAAAGGGGTTTTAGGAGCATGCCATGGGAGTTTATGCTAAAGATAAGACTTAGGGTCTGCGGCCCGCGGGCCGGCCGGGTTTCAGGATAATCAGCTTATCCCGAAACGCACAAGCTGCCTCAAAGGGACCCTTAATATGTAAATTTTTGGATTTTGTAAATGTTCTACTTGCATGGTTTAAAATTTACATATATACCACATAATTTCTTTGTATTTACATATCAAGCACCTGTTGCTTAGTATTTAATTAGATAACACTGATTTGCATGAAAAGGTGAACTTCACTTTTAGAAGCTTGGTAGAAATGTTATTTTTTATTTGATATTTAGGACTAGAGTGTTATGCATGCAAATATGAAAGTTTAGATGCCGGATATGTAAATACATTAGAATTGTGTAGTATGCATGTAAATGCCCCCATTTAATAAATTTTTAAAAAGTGCTCGAAAGGTGGGAAGATTTACATACATACAATTAGGGTTGTAAACGAGCCGAGCTTGAGCGAGCTCAGGCTTGGTCCGTTTTCGGCTCGTTCCAAATAGCTCGTGTTTGAAAAGTGTTTGAAATTGCCTCGTGAGCAATGTATTCGTGTTCGGCTCGAAATTGGCTTGAAAATTTAAATTGAAAAAAATAGATGTAAAGTGGGATTCGAACATGAACCAAATATATATAAAAGAAGGCAATAATCAAATTGCCACATGAGACATTATGATTTAAACTTAGATATGAATATATATATAATATTATTATATAAATAATATATGTAATATATTATTATATTAATAATTTTATATTTTTTAATTTCGAGCTAAAACGAGCCGAACACGAGCGAGCAAAGAACTGTTCGTGTTTGGCTCGTTTATAATTCAAGCTTTTAAAAAATTGTTTGTGTTCGGCTAGTTTACTCAACGATCGAGCCGAACACGAGCTGTTTGCGAACAAGAAGCTTTTTTGACAGCCCTAGGTACAACTGAACTTTTATGTATTTAGCACCTAAACTTAAAATTCTTTTTACATACATACCTCTTATGCATAAAAACTTTTATTTCAATTTTAGAAGTTAAAATGGTTGTATTTTTTCTTTGACATGAAAGATTTGGGTGGTATAAATGTAAAATACGGAATATTAGGTGTTAGTTATTTAAATATATAGGAATTGGGTGGTATGTTTGTAACTGTCCCTAACATTAATTTGTGCTCTTGAATATTTGCCAAACGCAACAAGAGCTATCGACTGTAAATAAATATAATTTCTATAAGCACTTTGCAAAACAATTTAATATTAAATTAATTAATTAATGCTTTTTGTCAGGTCGCCACTCGCCTTTAACAGGTCAGGGCTAAGGGCTTTGACCTCTCTGCTTACGGCCCACAATACCTACCGTATAAATAGAACTTGCACGTCACTAATTAATTAATTTATGAGTTATTAATTAATTTATAAAGTATAAATGGCTTTTATGCAATTTTACTGAAAAATGGGACGGACAGTGACTACAACACGTTTTATCTCAAAATAATATATATATATAATAATAATAATATAATTAAATAATTAAATAGAACATGCACGTCACTAATTAAAT